ACGATATGTGCAAAGTTTGTTTTTTTTTTTTAAAAAAAAAATGAAACGACGTCGTTTTGGAATAGACAGACTGATTTTTTTTATCCCTATAACCATTGAAACAACATCATTTCAGTGGTAGGGTTTACAAAAAAAATAAAAAAAAATCCTATTTTCCTTCTTCGTTCAGCGAACGACTCATGGTCTTGGCCCTTCTGGGTGTTCTTCAGCTGACAACGACGATCGATGAAGATGAAGACGATGATCGACTGAAACGACGTTGTTCGCCTAGTCCTGGGTGTTCTCCTGCCTTCGTTGTTCGCTGTTCAGCCGAAGACGACGATTGAAGAAGTTGTTTCTTCCATCGAAGCTGCCTTCCATCGAAGACTCCAGTCTCCATCGAAGCCCAGTCTTCTTCTTCCTTCTCTAGGTACTCGCTGGTCCTGTCCTGTGTAGTGGAAAAAATGATGTTAATTTATTTACAAAGCCAAATATATATATATATATATATATATATATATATATATATATATATATATATATATATTTTTTTTTTGTACAAAAATTTATGAATCTTAATTAATTTTAATTTTGTGAAATAGTGGCATCACCAGCATCCTACTTTCATATAGAAATGAATAAAAAACTTGCTAATAATCCCACATGGGAACATTGTGACAAAGTAAAAGGATCAATGTTGAAATTGAAATGCATTCATTGTGCAAATATCTATTGGGGATGACTTTCAAGAATGAAAAATTATTTGACAGGTAATCGTAAAGATGTAACGTCATGTAAGCATTGCCCTGAGGAAGTAACTAAATTTTTTAAGCAATTGTTAGATGATAGGACAAGTAGCAAAGATATGAGTCTTGTGGATTCGAAAAGTAGTGGCAGGGTGGGTAGTACTACTGCTGATAAAATATAACCAACCACTACCATTACTTTGAATACCATGTTAAATAAAAAGGGTAAGGAAGATGTATGCTTAGATATTTGTAGATGCTTTTATGCTAATGCCCTTCCTTTTAATTTGGTAAAAGATTCATATTTTGTAAGAATGTTAGAATCTGTTACATCATTTGGCAAGAGATTGAAACCTCAATCGTATCATGAGGTGAGATGTTCTTTTTTGAAAAAAGAAACAAATTAGATTAATGGTGGGTTGATGAAAAATTATAAAGCAGAGTGAAGAAAGACGAATTGTACTCTTATGTCTGATGGATGAACTGATGAGAAACATCACTCTATCACTACTTTTTTAGTGAATAGTTCTAGAGTAAGTGTGTTTCTTAAAAGTATTGAGACTTCAGACATTTGTAAGAATACAGATAATCTTTTTCAACTTTTAGATTCAATGGTAGAAAATATTGGGGAGGACAATGTTGTTCAGGTTGTGACTGATAGTGCATCGACTTATGTAAAAGTTGGAGAGTTGTTAATGGAAAAGAGGAAAAAGTTGTTTTGGTCTCCTTGCGTTGTAATTTGTCTAGATCTTATTTTGACAGATATTAGAGACATTAATCTACACAAGGATATAATGACAAAGGCAAGAAAAATCACACTTTACATTTATAGACATTCTTGGGTGTTAAATCTTATGAGGAAGTTTATAAACAAAATGGATATGGTGAGAACTTGTGTGACCAGATTTGCCACTTCATATTTAACTTTAAGGAGTTTATTTGAGAATTAAATTTGGCTTAGAGCAATGTTTACTTCTGAAGAATGACAAAGAAGTCAATACTCTAAGAAGGGAGATGGTGTAAAAGTGATGGATATTGTACTAGCTGACCAAATTTTTTGGGGATCAATCAAGTATTGCTTGAAGTGTGTGTTGCCATTGGTGAAGGTGTTGAGGCTTGTAGATGGGGATATAAAGCCTACCAGGAGGTATATTAATGAGGCAATGGACAAGGCAAAGGAACAAATCCAAAAAAAAATTCGTAATGTAAAGAAGCACTATGAGCCCATATGGACTATTTTTGACACTAGATGGAAGATGCAATTACACAGACCTCTTCATGCAGCTGCCTATTATCTCAATCCAACGTAAAATTGAAGTTTCTCAATTTTTATATCATTTTATATTTATATATTGTATACTGATCAATGATCATTGTAAATCAAAATAACTATTTCAGGTTTTATTACACCGGTAGTGTGAACTATGAGATAAATATGTGACTTTACCAGATTATTCAGAGAATGTGCCCAAGTGCTATTGTGAGAAAAAAAAGTTGATAAACAATTAGATATATTTCACAATACTGATTTGATGTTTGGAATAGATATGACAATCTAGATGAGGAAGAAGAAACAACCTGGTTAGTGGTAACCTAACTTAAGTTAGTCATTTAATGCAATTGCTTAAATTAGTTAATGCAGTATTCCATTATAATTTTTTATAGCCTTATGGTGGGAATCATTTGGAGGCTGTTGTCTAGAGTTGCAGCAACTTGCTATCCGCGTCCTTAGCTTGACTTGTAGTGCTACAGGATGTGAGAGGAATTGGAGTACATTTGACCAGCTGCATTCTAAGAGGAGAAATCGATTAGAGCAGCAAAGATTAAGTCCACTTGTGTTTGTGAAGTACAATCTTCAATTAGAGGCAAGACACCAAAAAAGAATCCTAGAGGGTGATTACTATAATCCTATTTCTCTCTTTGATGATGAGTGGATCACTGAAAAAGAAGATGCACTCCTTCCTGAGGACACTAGTTGGATGAATGTTGGTGAATGTTTTGAAGTTCAAGAAGGGACTAGCAAAAAGAGAAAGAGAGGTAAATAGTATATAATTAAAATGTAGTAATTGTTTTTTCTTCTTCTCTATGACTTTGAATATTTTTTTTTTATATTTTGTATTGGTTGTTTTGTAGGGCCTATAAATTTTTCTTTAAACAAGAAAAAAGGGAAACAAATAGTTCAACTTGAAGATGAGGATGAGGATGAACAAATACAACAAGTTGAAGATGATGAAGGAAGTGAAGACTTGTTGGCATTCGATGACAATGATGATGATAATGCATTTTCAATTGAAATTGAAGATTGATTTCAAAATGGATGTTAGAAATTTAGATTAGAAGAAATTTATTTGGTGTTTGAAGTTTGAATTAGTGAACTATGGTTGTGAACTTTGCATTATAATAGTAGTGGATTATGTTGATGACTTGAATAGTTGGTAGAGTATTAATGAAATATTATGTTTTTATGAATGTATGATTTTTTTTCAAAAGTATATATATTTTTTTATTATTTATTTAAATACGATACTCTATTTTTAAAATACGATACGCCTTCCGATACACGATTTAATAACTATGCACATATACATAAGATTAGAATTGGATTACAATCAGATCCAACATTAATGTATTCAAATTTAAATTTTTAAGACATAATTCAGTAGTTTGAGATTCAATTCATAAATGACTAATTAGATCTCGGTTCAAATCATACTAAGACAAAAATTGAAAAATTTGAGAATCGGTCCAATTTTTTAGACTTATTTATCTGGCCAAAAGTCTACTCAGAAATTTTGTTTAGCTTTAAGACTATTTTGATCTCTATTATTCAAAATAACCCAAGCATTTACATCTAATTAAAACTTATTTGAAAACTAAAAACTCCTACATTTTAGAATTTTTCTCATGTTAAAACTCTTTGTCTTTTCTCTCTCATATCTATCTATATACAAATATATAAACGTAACCAATAAAACTTAATAACACATATGTTTAAAACTCAAACTTTAAGCCCTATAAATCTCATAAATAGGACTCTCCCCCAATTATCACATACGAAGTTGTTCCATTGACGGCCCTGCTCATAAGTATAGTTGTTTCAGAGCAAAGCCTTCCATTACGGAGAAGTAGTAAGCAAGGCCCAAGGATTTTGTGGGCCGAATTCAATGTAAGCCCATTAGACCCATATGTTAGGTCCACCCACAAATTTGGTACAAGGAATGGTTCAAGGACATGTTTCGTATGTGTATTAAGATTAGAGATTCAAAATTTATAGAGTAAATGGATCTCGGTTCACTCCTAAGCCACAATGAATGATGAATTAAAATTCATGTATGGAGGTTTGATAAAACCCACGAGGGGTAATGGTTTTCAAAAGCTGAGAGATTAGATTTGTATATAAAAAACTTATTTTACCCAAAAATTTATTTTTCTATTCACCTAACAATGGATATTTTAGTTAATATGGTTTGACATGAATTTATGAATCCCACGTATATTTATGGTACCTACAAAATATAAGATTGGATATAATTAATTTTTGTTTGAATTTCACGTACAAATTATTGGAGCTGAGTTTGGAAAAGACTTCATAAATGCAATTTAATCCCAAAAAAAAAACTTCAAACAAGCTCCCAAGTGCTCAAATCCGTTAGTGATATATGTTATAAGATGTAAAAAATTTATGTTAAAAAAAAGGTCAGGAGAATCTCTTGTGGAACAAATGTGTGGATCGAGCAACTTTGTTTTTATAAATCAAATGTTTACTGGTAATGGTAAGGGAGGGTGGTCGAAGATGGTGATATAGTGTTGAATGTATGTCTGTGGTTGTGATTGTGTGTCTGTGCAGGAGAAGAGAGAGAGAAGAGGTGGTGGTTGATGAGGGCAGGGCAATGGGTTTGTATGGCGGTGGGTGTTCGGATGAGCGTGGTGTGAAAGACAAAAGAAAGGGATATTATTACGAAGATGAGACAGACAAAAACTTTGTTGTGGCCCCCTTTCAGCTGAGTTGTTAGTTGATTATTGGATGCCTCTGAACCTGGTGGTGGACGGGTGATCCATAACTTATTCTCCACGGCAAAAGGATAATCATGAGATGATGGAAAAGAAAAAGAAAAAGAGATGAACCCGTCTTCAAGCAATCCCTTCCTTTTTTTTGAGCAATGAGATGGATGGAATAAGTGAAAGAAAAGTTCTTGTCTTGCCATGTAAAAAATTCCGTTAGTATGTGAATGTGAAGCCCCTATTTAAATCCAAGCCAACCTCCAACCTACCTTAATCCATTCCACTGCACCATTCACATACCAATCTCAAACTAATTTGTCTCTCCCTCTCATTCACCGCATCTTAAATATCAGTCCAACCAACCCACCATGATTACTGAAACAACTAAACCAGATCCTGCTGCATTGTTGCCCGATGAAGATGATCAGAAGCAAAAACATAGCGAGATCAGAGAGATGATCTCTGCACTCACTCGTCGCTTTGCCGATCTTCAATATGTTAACAAACCTGGAGCCGGAGGTACAACAAGCCACCACCATGATCAGGATGATGAGGATGATCATGGTGTGAGAATCATCACGCTCGCTGGAAGCAATTATGGAGCCACAATTCGAAGCGAGTTGGAGGATATCAAAGCCAGCAACAGCAGCCCTCAATTAGGTGTGTCACTTGGAGGAGGGGGAGATGATCAGGAGCATGAAGAATCACTGAGTACCTACGTGAATAGCAATTTCCAAGCCATCAACAATTCAATCATAATGGGTGGTGGCTACTCCAGCAACGATCCTGGTGTTCATGTGGACGTCTCCGAATACATGGAACATCAAGCCCACCGCAAGCAAGAAAAGAAGGTCGACGGCAAGAGGAAAGACAAGGAAACCTACAAAAGCGACCAACATTCCCAGTATGCTGATTAGGCTTAATTGTTACCCCCATCATCGCATACATCGTACTAGTACAGGTGGTGCATGGGATGAATAACCTATTAATTACAACTTATACTCTTTGCCTTAGCTACCGTACGTATTTAAGTCTGCATTATTATAAATAAGTGGGTGTTCACTCTAACTCCCTATACTTATTCATCGAAGCTTCCCGTTGGGGGTGTATTGTATTAAGACTTTGACCGTGAGTATATCAGCTTCATCGTAATAAGGTTTCTATCCTCAAGTGAGGACATGTGTTTCCTCTTCTATTAAAAGTACAATTATAAGTTAAAGTTTACTGTGTACATGTATTTATTGCCGGAGAATAATGGGTCTATCTGGTATGTTCTAATCTCAAATATAATATAATAATTCAACGTACGACAGCAATAGAGATGGTTTTATATATTTGTGGGCGCTGAATGTGTGCAAAATCCTTGATGCTACTTGTTTCTTATGTCCATTTTGTTTGGCCATCGAAATGTGATGGGATATACTAGCAGCAATTGGATAAACATGATGGCAAGAAAATAGATAAAATAAAATAAAGCACACAAAGAAAGAAAATATCGATATTTACGTGGTTCGACAAAAATTTTGCTTAAATTTACAAGAGGTGATTCAATTGCATTCTTTACAATTGAGAATAATGGTACAAGCTCACTCATCAAATTTTATACCCTAATTAACCAGCGCTTTTTATACCCTTGTACACCTCACTCAACTCACCCACTTAGTACATAAAGAAAAAAGGGAGTATTACGCCTTTTTGGTTTGCAGCTCAGAAATTATTTTGTGTTTTTTGAAACAGTTTCTAGAAGAAAAGTTGTTTAACCAGTTGTTTTTTTGTTTTTATTTTTTAAAACGAAGAATAAAAACTGGATACATTTAGAGAATAAGTTACAACAATTTTTTTTGTATTTTTTGAAAGAACTTTTCTAAAATTTAGAAAATACCACCACTACCACTATACTTTCATCACCACCACCATCATCATCACACCCACCTCAACCTTTCCACCACCACCACACGTCCATCACCACCAGCAGCAGCACACTTCCATCACCACCACATTCTCACCACTACCACACCACACCTACACCACACCACCACCACCACCATTGCTCTCCCACCACCACACTTTTACCACCACTACCATTCTTCTACCATTGTCACCACCACAACGTCCACCATACCACCACCACAACCATATTTCAGTTTTCATTATTTTTTGGGTTGTTGTCCAAATAATTTTAATGTTTTATATTCGTATAATCGTTTTTAGAATTGTATAACTAAATAAATTATGCGACATAAAAAATACTAAAAATAGTTTTTGAAAAATGCTTTTCAAAAATAATTTTTAAATACTATTTTTTGAGATGCAAACTAAATATGACCTTATTTTTTGAACTCTTGTTACACTCACTGAATTAAGATACTCTAAAAAGTGCAATGCCTATTCATAAGCATGATACTCCATGATAACTTCGTAATAATTGTCAAAACCAAGAAAATGGTACAAGGCTAAGTGATCAGGTTGAAGACTTTCCAACCTTACGATTTTTTCATTTTTATTCCTATTACATTTTCGGTTCCACATCATTTGCTTAATTGGAGCCATCATCAAACAAATCTCCACCTTGACAAAAATTTAATAACTTCTACCTGAAACATTAAGTCCGCATCTTGAGTCAGATGCCCATCCTCATGTCCTAAGATGTTTCGTCAATCTAACAGTACGAGAAATTTATCAGGTTCAAGCATTGCTTGAACTTCTGTATAGTGACCAGCGTCATCATCATATCAACTACATTATTTTATGACTTCCACCTACTCTCTAAGAGCATGAAACCTTATATCAATGTGTTTTGTCATGTGATGATAAACTTTATTTTTTGCCAAATGAATAGCACTTTGGTTATCATCACAATCCAACTCTAAGCTTTTGTGTGTCAATCTCAATTCATTGACCAAACTTGTCAACCACAAAGTCTATTTGGCAGCTTTCACCGTTCCCATATATTCCACTTCAGTTGTGGATAAAGTGAGAGTTGATTGAAGCATAACTTTCTAACTGATAGGTCTACCTGCTATTGTAAATATATAACATGTAGTATACATCTGTTTGTGCAGATCACCTACATAGTCTGCATCTATATATTCTACAACATGTGTTGTTTCATCATGTTTCTGATACAAGATACTGAAATTCATTGTACCTCTCAAATACATAAATATCTAGTTAACTACATTCTAATGCTCCTTACTCAAATTATTCGTGTATTTACTGGTGTTACTGACTGTTTAAGAGATGTCTAGCTTATTGCAAACCATGACATATATTAGATTCCCCACTGTATTATTGTATGAAAAATAAGACATTTTCTCACTTCATCATCTGAAGTAGGACAGGATTTAGCATATAGTTTAAAGTGGTTAGCTAGAGAAGTATTAACTAACTTAGAATTACTCATGCTAAACCTATCTAGTACCTTTTACATACTTTTTTTTTGTGATACCCATAGTTTGTGTTTTTCTTTGTCCCTCAGAATTTTCATTACAAAGATCTTTTTAGCAATGTCTAGATCTTTCATATCAATTTTATTTCATAATCTAGATTTTAACGAGTTTAGCTCATGCATTTTATTTGAAACAATTAACCTCTCGTCACCATACATCATCAGAATAACAAAAAGAACTATCACCAAGTATTTTAGAATCATAGATGCTCCTCGTATAGCCAATATGCACCATAAAAGAAATCAACCTCCTACACCATTATTAAGAAACTGTATTAGCTTGTAAAGAGATATTTTAAGCTTGCATAGCAAATACTCTTTACATTGCTCCTTGAATCTTTCTGGTTGTTTCATACATATTTTCTCCACTAATTCCCCATGAAGGAATGTTGTCTTGACATCAAACTATTGTGACTCAAGGTCAAATATTGTTACCATACCTAACACTACGAATTGAACAATGCTCAACAACAAGAGAAAAAAATTCATTATAGTCAATTCTTTCCTCTTGCCTATAGACATTGGCAACAAGTTGTGCCTTAATTTTTTTTTTCCTTACATTTCAATGCAGGTTCTTTTTTCTGATATATCCATTTGCAACCAATCACCTTTTGACCTTTGGATTTTTCAACTAACCCCGAAGTGTTGTTCTTGTATTGAAATTTTATCTCATCTATCATTATTAGTATCTATTTTTCATTTTCTTGGCTTTTGACTACATCTTGAAAACAAGGCAGATCTCAATTATCAATAGTTAATGTAAAAGAAACTATGTATTCAAAATCATACGTGATTGGTGTCTTATGAGTTCTTTTCTCCCTTCTAGCAGTAAGAGTTGTGGGTTCTTTTTGTCTAACATCGCTACTAGATGTATCTTCTTGAAAAGAGGTTGGTGCATGATCCTCTCACTGGGCCCTTGTGTTTCATTTGGCTCTACATGGTCTAAGATTTTTTTCTAATGAGCCTCTACTTCTTTATTGGTTTTCTTTTTGTTTAAATTCAACATATGTTCTTCATTGAAGATGACATCCCTACTGATTACCTTTCATACAGTCGAATCTCAAAGGTTATACCATTTCTTGCCTTTTTCATAATCGACAAATATACACTACTTGGACTTTGAGTACAACTTGGATATTTGCTGCTCTTACACGCGAGAACATAGGTCGAACAACCAAATATTCTAGATTAGAATAATTGACTAGTTTATCTTTCCAAATCTCCTCAGGGATAGCAATTGGATTAATATGTTGATGAGAAAATAAATAAAATAAACTAAAGCACACAAAGAAAGACAATACTATGACAAAATTCTTGCCTATATCCACGAGGCATGATCCAATTGTTTTCTTCATTATTGAGAAAAATTGAGTACAATAGTATAAACATCACCATTGGAATTTTATATCTCAAACCCGAGCTTTTTAACCCTTGTACACCTCACCCAACTCATCCACTCAATACATAAAGAAGAGGAGAGTTTTATTTTTTGAACTCTCATTATACTCACTAAATTCAGATGCAAAAACCTAAAGAGTTCAATGCTTATTTATAGGCATGAGTCTCCATAGCAGTTTCGTAAAAATTGTCAAAACCAATAGAAATTGTACAAGGCTAAGTAATCATGTTGAAGACTTCCAACCTCTCCTTTTCTTTATTTTGTTTCTTTTGCAATTTTGGAGCCACCGTCCAACAAAACGGATAATTGTGATTGATTTCGAGTTATGAAAAACACTATCAAACAAACAAATTAAAAGAAATCATTCCTCCAAAATGAACCACTAAAAAATCTACAATATTTCTCTATATGATTAAATTGAATTGATTGTTAATTATAGGTATAATCCACTGAAAAGTAATATCTCTCTGGAAAAAAGAAAGTTGTTTCATCACATCTTTTACTACCCAGCTTTTAATGATGCTACCTGGTCCCTTTCCATTTCGTTTCCATCCATTGCAATAACCTACACTTTATATTACTGTGGCGATCGATCTAGGTCCAAATACATTCCACTTCAAATGAAATCAAAATAATCCAGATCCATTGATTCAGTGTGGAGCAGGAATGAGATTGATACGTATTATAAAGTCATGGAGTTTTGAGTTTGGTGAGGGATGATTTATTTTATTGGTTTTTATGGCTGCCACTGAAAGAACCAGATGAGTTGTGTATAGGATGGTGATTAGGCGTTGGGGTTAGAGAAAGATAGCTATAGAGTCGGTTATGATATTTGGGGATAGTTTTGTCAGCTTTGAGAAATAGTACTTTTTTAATAAATGTTTATGAAAGTGTTTATAAGAAAAACACTTTTATTAAATAAGTATTGTTTCGATACTCAAAATTTAAAATATTTAAATTAATGTATTTTATAAAAAATACGTTTAGATGTAAAAATTCTTATTTGTATCCCAATTGTTAATAACATTGAATGCACATATACAAATGTATATTACACATACAATAATACACACAAAAAAAAATTATACACCAAAATATCATATTAATAAAGGTATCATACGAAAAAACTTTTGTCTAATCGTTCTCCCCCACTCACTTTTCGACAGCGCCTTGAAGATGTAGACCCATCACGTCTGAGATGTACTTGACCATTCAAGTCACTATCTTCCTCTCTTGTTGGTCCAATCCTATCGGGAATTTGACTTTCACAAGGTGTGTCCAAATCTAAGTTATGATTGTCATTACCATTGGTAGTATGAGCAAATGCAGGCTGAGTTCCTTGTGAAGGAGCCCACGAATGCTCCCCAGTTGTGATTGTACTGCTAAAAATTATATCTAGTATGTCAATAAATGGGAGTGATTTCTTATGAAATTCTTTGTAATAAA